ACATGCATGAGAAGGGAGATACCTATGGAAAAAGCAATGACCAGCGCTCATACCAACGCAGATTGTCGATCTTCGAGCGTCAGAGGTTTGGGCTTCATGCTGGTTTGCCGATAGAGATCGACGCAGCTAACTCCCATTCCAGAACGTTGCTGGATGTACAAAAGATATGCTCAACATTGGCTACCTATACCTCAACCATCCACGTCCAATGAGTCCATGGCGATACTTAACCTGTGTTCATTGCCAACGAGCGAGGATGATCCCGTGAAACTTCTAAGAAGGCTTACATGCCACTATCGGACACCCGCCGGGGCCGGAAATATATCAAGGTACTCTGAGATCGTGGGAAAACGCAAACGATCTGTTCGCAACGTTGAGCAAATGCCATAACTTGGCGGGGTTTGCCGGAAAAAGCAAGCTGACTACTTGGAGCGCAATCCAGACGCGTCAGGCACACAAGAAGGCAATTCCGTGGCGAAGTGCATCCCGCCATCCCACCCAACTAAAGACCCACGTAACTTGTATTTTCACATCCGTTTTTCTGCCAGGCTCCGGCCACCAATATTCGAAATCACATTGGTGGCTCGGCTTGACTCAGACTAGTCGACCTTTTCGTTACGTGAGCATAGTATAAGCAAGAAAATAGTACCATCAGCCGCTCAAACGGGGTTTCACATATTCTTCGGAAACTCCTTTACATAAGGTAGCCTGGCTTGCCTGGCTTCTACATCTAAAGTATTGGACCCTGGTTCAACAAGGTGTCTGTAACCTCAACGCGTTGCACTGTTTTCGGCATAAGGGCACTGAAAGGACATTTCAGTCGATGAAGTCGACATGACTAATTGCAGGTACTCTTGCATCCGGTCTTCTAGCTGTCGCCAGTTTGACTTAATTTGGTTAGGTCTTAATTAATGGCAGACGCAGGTAACCGGCCTACATTTACACCCAAAATGTCATTCACGTTGCGCCAACCACAGCGGAACCCTCGCCGTTTTCAGCACCTTCTATTCGCTTTATGATGTACATGAGACATGTAATCGGCACCGCTTGCGGATTGCAGCAAGACCTCGAGCGACCGTTGCTGACCCTGCCAGCCACTCTTACATTGCGCGTCCCTGGTCAATGGTTTTCCGTGACCGAGACGTACAACGAGATACCGATGTGTTTCAGTTGAGTTTATGTGAACGAACCAATCATACATGCAATTCTCATAAGAGACGCGCAAGGGCCCGCAGATAAATGCTGATAATGACGCCAATGCATCCATTAGTGTCCTCAAAGTAACAGAGCTGGCGAAGCAAGGGGCGCAGAAGGTGGACATACAGACCAATGCACTAAACGTGGAATCGAAGAGACTGGTTAGTCTAGATGGAATGTGCTCCAACACCAAAAGACGCCGGATGCCCGCAGTGCAGCAGCCGGAAACGAATGGTGACACCAAAGTCGGCATAGCCCCCACACAAATGCAGCCAGAGTACGGCAGCCGAGCCTGGCTTCTATCATCACACCTGCTGATGGTGAGCGGCTGGACGTTGGCGCTGCTTCGGGATAGTGGCAACCGGATGAGATTCTTCCGTGTAGTTGGAGTAGACCAAGGCAGTGAATGCCGGATGCTGTAAAAAGATTTCGGTGCAAATTGTACAGCGAAAGACGGCGACACCCCCGAGCCATAGACGTCCCTATCCACTTTCTTGGCGTATGGAGCAGCATGAAGGCTTGATGCGTCCTTAACGACTTGGAACGTCCAGTTTGCAGCACGCGGCTGCAGGATACCACTGTTACATAGACGCCTCGTTGTATGACTTGCATATTAATCTCTGTTAGTAGGGCCCTAGTTTGGGGAGAGAAAAAAAAAAAAAGGTCATGGAGACCTAACACCTTCTCGTGGGACACGGCCTTGAACACATGGCATTGAAGGAGTATTGATGACTCTTGACACGCCTCGAGGGAATGGGTCTCTTCATTTCCACGCGGTCGTCTCACAAGCACAAAAGCTGTCGTTTTCCGCTACGCATCCTTGTCGATAGGTCTCCGATTGAAAGAAGAAAGACAGCAATCTATGATGTTGCAGAGGGAGAATAGAATGTGGAAATGAGACGGTTGAATTTCGCCATTGTCACGCTAATGCAAGGAGATTCTGCTATTGGGGAATGTCTGCCCATGAACGTGTTTCGGCATTTGATTTTAACAACTGCCCCCGACAAGGATTGTAACCTCAATATCGATTCACTGGTAGTAATATATGTCTCTGGTAACGTTCCCTATCTTGAAATGAAGTTCGGGGCTCATGGGTAACAACTGTGTTCTACATTCTCATCATAGGCCCCAACCCTAGAATCTCGAGCCCTCTCGCATGGCAATTGCAGTACTCGGCATTTTCAGTAAAATCAATCGATTCCATTCCAATATCGGCTAGTTCTTCTTAAAAACTTGAAGTCGCAATGCCGAGGCTGCCAAGCAACAGGAACACCGTCAGGGCCGGGCTTACGAAAAGTAAAGTCCCAATGCTGCTGCCCTAAAGATGCAGAAAAAACGATGGGGAGAGGTCTTCTTTCCTCAAGATTTGATGATTTGGGATTGGGTCCTTTTGAGACAGAAGAAGACGGCTGATCTGGATGCTGTACAGATATTGTAGCCGTGATACACGAGCCCTGATTATTTATTGACCCGTATATCGACGGATGAGGTAGCGTGATGCGAATGTATTTGCCATCGCGCCAGGAAATATTCACCCCTCGCTGGTGAAAGACGCTGTTCGGATGACATTGTGCCTGGGGGGATGAAGGTATTGGAGTCGCCGTAGTAGCTATTTGGTCAGCCGAAGAAGAAATGCTGGCCAGATGATCTCCGCCAAAAGCATTAACTGATGATTTATATCGTTGATCGACGGCTGATGGCTCTGCCAAGGGAGCAATCGAGTTATTTTCGAGTGTGAGAGGCAGTTCCTGTTCATCGATAGAGACGTTGACGCAACGCATGACGTCGCGGCGTGGCTCTAGTTGCTGAATGACATGCATCAAGAAGCCTTCATCTTCACAGTCCAAGAGGTGGCTGAGGGTAGTCTCTCCTTCGTCTTTGATGAGATCACCAGTTGACAGTGATGTCTGCCCTGTCAGACTTTCTGTCTCCGGGCTCCTTCAAGGTGGGTGGTAGATCACATCGGCAGAAGATGGAACCTGGACCTTATGGGCCGATATGAAAGCTCATCTGAACTTGTAGGAGCTGGTAAGGGGCCAACAAGCAAATCCTTTGGGGACCTCCACCATCCTTGCAACATCGCCGTCGGAAAATAGTTCCCCAAGGCACGATGGTAACCAGACAATGCGGAGACGCCATTCAGATCGCCTTCATCAACCTCGGAGATGGCGTTTGGTACTTCAACTTCTTCGTCCATTTGGATAAAATGGTGATGCCAAATGCTAGAAACTGTCAGAATCTGTGATAAACCTGTCCAGTTCACTTACCAAACTTTAAGGCACATCTGAGGACGTTGTATACTTCAGTTTGAGGTGCAACCTCAATAATTAATTGTCTCGCGGATCAGCCCTTGATCAGAACTGCATATTTCTGGCCGTGAAGTTATCCTTCCTCCCAGCCTAGAATGAGACCAGGCCATGTATCCATGTTGAAAACTGGCGCTTGCCAGAATGGCGGCCATGATTTTATCAAAGGGAGGCGGCTATGTTGTCAAGTGAGGTAGGTATGTATGATAGGGCAGTCTCCCGTGCCTCCATAGCATTCCTAGGGATAATAATTGTTTCCAACAGCACTCAAATCCGACGCACAAATACTTATGAACTACTCTGGTTGGGCTGGAACTCTATTTTCCCTTCTGACAAACGTATGTGTCTCTTCAGCTTTGATATAGTCTCATATCACCTTTACTTGCCAACAACCAAATATTTGTCCTCTAGTTTACCTAGGAAGGCAGCTTGGCAGCTATACTGAAGTAGATTACCTTGCAACTAGGAGTATCAACCCCGTGTCTGGATGAAACAGATGATGCAGGCAAGAAAGTCGGTTTCAAATGGCATGACCAACCTGTAGTATCGGAATCCTTCCCTCTTGGTTCCGCCGGCCGCGTATGGGTATGCAGCCGCCGTTGGAATCCCCGGCCGGCAGGTGGATGGGTGCCCGCACTGCCGGCCGCCCCCGTTTTGAAGTTGACGCCCGCGCTCCGTGCCGCACCACACTGCTGCCACGTCCAGCCACTTCGACCTTTGTGTTGTGTTCTGTAGGATGGGCCATCCGAACTCAGTAGAAAAGATGCTCACTGCCTGTATGCAGCTGAATTTTTCTTATTTGGCGCGCCGGGATTATTGATTTACAATTGAGTTTGATTGCCAGGCCCTCTGGTTGCATGACAATCCCAATGAGGTGCGCCTCGGCAATGCCGCCGGACATTTAGGGACGATGAGTCGTGGACTTTGAGAGGGGCCTTCAAATCTTAGGCCGGGGAACCCCCGGTGACGGATCTGATCACGCAACATTTTGTAGTCTGTCGGGTTTCTCGGAATGGATACCCTTGGTTCTGACGTATTGTCATTCAATTTCTAGCCAAGGCTTGGTGGCTAGGAGGAAAACTTAGTTTAGAAGCACATGGCTTAATCTGGGAATAACAGGAGAGGGGAAAATTCGTCTAAAGGCGTCGTAGTATGTCGGCCAGTGGGCACGTTTGATGCGAGATTGACTGCTGGCCTGCAGCTGTGACAGGAGAACCATTGACGGGCGCAAATTAGGACGAATGAGCGAGGTCTTTATCTTCCCTAGGAAGCCATGGCATGCCGACGGCCAGAACGGGGCACATACATACAATCTAGCCACCAAGATCCTGGGCGTTGATAAGCTGACGGCGTTTGTCTCACTCAGCCCACCCTTTCGATGCCCTATACTCGCTTTTCAGCTTAGCTGGCGACTTCCATTCTTTTAATCTTCAATCTCACCTCAAGCGACGGGCGGAAAACGTCTCATCTACAAATCGAAATAGGTCGTGCACCATAATGGCAACTTCTATCACTCACCAACCGTCACGATTAGGAGACGTAGATGGAAATGCTACAGGCAGAGTCAGCTGTCATCCGTTGATGACACTGCCTCTAGAGCTGCGCCTCCTTATTTGGGAACGGTTCGGCGCCGAGTCTCGAGTGTTTGAATACAAAGAAGATACGGGCCTCGTTAGGCTGGCCCTTGAGTACCGTCATCCGCGACATGTTGGCCTAAGCATATGCTCCGAGTCACGGAAAGCAATCCAGGGTCTCCTCAAACCCTTCGAACACAATCACGAACTCGACAAGCGAAGCAGGATCCCCCCTCCACTAAAATACATCCCCTCTATCGACATTTTCTACCTGCCACCACTGGTGTACCGTAGCCGCATCCAGGCATGGGACACCATTTGGACGACCAAACCTGGAATTCTGAACGTCGGGGTGCACTGGTCTGTGCTCAGTGACGAGAGGCGCATCAAAGAGGCGCTCAAAGCACTCCGGCGGTGTTTTACGGACATGCGCACGCTCTCGGTGTTTGTTGACTTCAAAGCACTACCAGAGCCAGAGGAGAACGTATGTAAGGGGGGTATTGTGAGGATCATTGGGCCGGTGGAAAATGACTTCCGACTGCCGTCCTTGTTTGCGGAGGCGCATGGGTTTCTAGATGACTATTGGACTTGGGGGGAGTTGTCGGGTGCAATTGAAGAAGTTAGGAAGCGTATGAAGGAGACAGCAGATGTGGAAGGGTTGCTCTATTGTAGGGAGATGGAAGATGGGCCTGACTTTTGAAGGATGATATCGTTTGGTGTTCGGGAGATGAATTTGCTTGATCACAGGCGGGAATCTCAAGGAGGCTGTGGAGTTGATAAGAAGATAACTGATGTCCACCAACAGCACGAGTGCTGTCATGGCGATAGACGCACATTATACCAATGTTTTCATTTCACTATCTTACATGAATTCATAATACCCTTTCACAAACCCATTTAGAGCGCTGATATCATGTTGAGGCTGCTATTTGTGCTGCGTGGTTATTGTACTAAGCCGGACCTTTATTGCATCTGTTCTCGTCAGTGTGAACCATTCTAATAATTCGAGCTATCATTGAAGACTTTACTCTTTCGTATCGGACCTTGAATCGAGACATCCGCATCCTCTCGTCTGTTGCGTGTGTGACCCCGCAACAACATCAGTACTACTTCTTAAGCGGCCTCTCCTGAGTGAGATAACCCAGTCAATGTCAAAATTATTTGAATAAGCTATTAGTGGTTTTTCAGTTTCCGCCCTAAACGTCTCGCTTGTTGCATCGCTGATGATATGTTGAGGATATCGCTTGAATAAGCGATCACCAATGGAACCTTTCGACCAGCCCATAGATGTGGTACCAATGCCTGAGATAAAAGAATGGCACATCGTTGGAAACACTCAAAAGAAACCTTTCAGGGCTGCAGGTGTCGTGGTAATGGAACGATATCGAAGCTAGCATTCAGCAGAAGGGAGCGGAGAGGTCTTGCCTATAAAACTGGTCCCCATGCCCTGACAAATATCATTGACTCTCAAATAAAACAACAGGAAGGATCATCAAGGGTTTCTAAAAACGAAAGTACAAGAACGTGGCCGAAGTCTCATATTGGAGAGAGCTCAGGCAAAGAACAAGGGCAATCGGTGCGCCATCGGTCGTAAAATTGATGGCCACCCAGGCATAGGACAACACAGCAAACACGTTTCCAGCCCAATCAGTATGCGAATGATCATAAAGCTGCAAATAAAATAAAAAATGCCATCCTTCATTAGAGCGCCTTATTGGGATGTCTCGTCTAACAACTAGCAAGTTTTATTTAAAAAAAGACTCTAAGTTCGGATCAAGAATTGAATAATGACCAACGATGCAAACGGTCATGGCCTCTGAAAGTCGATGCCCCTTCTCGAATGTTGACCAACCGGAGGCTGCTCCTCGTTTACTCGGCCCGTCCCCGCCGTGCCCCGCTAAGGATCGGCGTCCGCCAGGTACTTCTACCGACCGATTGCCCCGATGATGGAGTGGACCTTGGCAAGCTTCCTTTCCTTCATAATCTTGCGGACAAGGCAACAGTCCCACATGCGACATTGCCATAGACCCAGGCCGCATGTACCCACCCGAAGTGACCGGTGGAATAGGAACTCATATTGATTTCGATTGCGATTGGATCAGACTCCATGATGGAAAGCATCAACTGTTAAGTAACGAACATGTCATTCATGTTTACATTGTTTAAAAAAGGAGACCGCCAGGGTGTCAGAACAGAGCCCTCGCCATTCAAACCGAACGCTGTATCCTCAAGTACCACATGACTTCCCCCAACCTCGTTTCAGGCTCTACCACAATTCACATGTTGGTTTCTGGTTAGGACAGTTGAAAGCCCTCCTAAACTCCCTAGAGTTATCCAAGGGGCCTTTGATTCGCGCAAAACCAGGGGAATGGGGGTCTTTTATCAGAAGCATGATGTCGTACTCTCTTGTTGCCGTAACTTCACACCAGCCCTGCGCCCACTGGAGGAAGAACAGCTGATCATGCGAAAAACGCTCTAAGCCGGGCAGATCAAAGTCTTGAACCTTTCCGTCCGCCTGGGCACGCTTCCACGCTGCATATGAGGTTGCCGCCCCACCTGCATCAGCTATATTCTCGCCGAGCGTGAAATTGCCTCTTACAGGAACAAGTGTGCCGTTAGGCGACAGACGGGTGAAATTCTGGTACTGATCGACGAAGCACTTCGTTCGCTCTTCAAACCCCTTGATACTGCTATCGTCCCACCAGTTCACCAGCGATCCATTGGGTGCATAATTGTGTCCGTTGTTGTCAAATCCATGTGTTAGTTCATGCCCAAGAACTGACCCGAGGCTGCCGTAATTAAGATATGATGGGTACCCAACAGCAAACAGTGGTTTCTGCTGGACACCCGCCAGAATAACAATGTCATTAAATGTTGGGAAGTAGTATGCATTAACCACCGATGGCATCGTAAGCCAAAGAGCCCTGTCAACAGGCTTGCCTAGGTAGGACCATGTCCGGTTGGTTGAAACGGCAGCGAGTGAGAGCATATTGTCAAGATAGCAGCTGCCAATTGATGCACCAGAGAAATAATCCGAAAGGCTCTTCGGGTTCATTGTTTCTGGGGATAAATCTGGGTAGCCGATTTTCTTAGTGACGGCATTCACTTTTTCCTCGGCGGTCTTCTTAACGGCGGGAGAGAGCCAGTCCTTATCACCAAGACGAGCAATGAATGTGTTCTGAATAGAACTCATAAGACTTGTCGTAAGTTCACGGGCTTCCTTGGAGTATGCCTTGTCGAGAAAGAAGCGGCTGGAAATCCAGCCGAGACCAGGTGGGAATTGGGTCCATGTAGGCCCAGAGTTAGTAGTGCTGACACATCGTCTCCATCGGGGTGCTTTCCCGACAACAGCAGGATCCAAGCCGCCAAGCGTAGACATCATTTCATTTAAACGGGTCGTGACATCAGCTACGACATAGTCAGAGAGTGCTGTGGTTGCTCTCCAGACGAAGAATGTCTGTAACGTTTCCGCAGTTGTGTTGGAAAGAAGTTGAGAAAGGTTGCCGAAGTAACCGGGGGAGAAGACCAGTTGCTCTGGGGTGTAGTCCTGTGGTACGAGAGCCTTAATTATGCTACCGTGATCAAGCTCTGGAGCTGTCCGGGTGACATCTTCCAGCTTGAATTTCCTTGCTGGCTTCTACTGAGGCGTTAGGGATGCTTGATTTTAAGAGATTTCTGGCTTACGTCTCTTCCCTCACGACTATCATCCGTTTTCTCGAGGGCTTGAAGGTCTCTTTCGAACTTCGTTACAATATGTGAAAGCTTTTGTGAATCACTACGAGAGAGATTTGCTGGATGGACTGCTTGCAGTACTGAGGCCATGACATCTTCATAATCTGCTAGTGTCTGGTCGGATTCTTCACCAGTGAGAAGAGGCAAGCCACCTGGAAGAATTGAGATGATTGTTTGATGCTAGAAACTGTTAGTCTAAATCTCAGCAACTTGCCTAAGAGGCGAGGTTCCTTGTCAAGAGTGCAGGTTGTTTCCATCCGAGACAACTCACCGGGTTGACGTCGTCAAAGTCCACGCCAACTGATTCAAATGTGCTGATACCATATTTGGCAAAGAACAGGAGCACTTTACCCAATTCTGAAGCATCATCCTTGCTTATCTTCCGCTGAGGATCTTTGCCTTCGCTGGAAACAGGAAAAGCTTCCGCGATGCGGTCAATGACGCTTAGAAGAGGCTTTAATCCCGTAGCTTCCAAGGCAGTGTTATTTAAGCAAGCATTGTATGCTTCCGTAATGAGCTTGAAATTGTCCTGGTCTATTGGAATCTGGTCTTTGGACAAAGACGCTGTAATAAAACCAGAATCCGCTCCGGATGGATAGGGGCCTTCTAGAATGTTCTTCATGATAACTGCGATCTCTTCAGTGGTTTCGCTGAAAGGGGCGGCCCTGCCGGAACCTGCCCCTGGCGCATGTCTGGACTGGTATCCAGAGCATGCAACTGCCAAGAAAGTGTGTCAGCAAGTTAGTGACAATATTAACTCAAGAGATTAGGAAGAAACCTTGTTTAAAGTTTGAAGGTAAACGAGGAACAAATGCAGGAGTTTTAAGGCCCGAAGCGCGGGGAAGCTGTTGCTAAACAAAATGGGGCTGGTGACGAAGCCAAGTGAGGAGTCGAACACCTACGTTTATCGAAGTCTGTGCACGGATCGATTTCCGTGTAGTTGGGGGCATGACTCTGAATAATGCCAGAAGCGATCTCGAGACATGTTGGAGTAGTACAAAGATTGCTCGAAGCGCCGATGCCGTCGATGGTAGGTGCCATTGCGTCCAACGATTGCTTTCGCAGTCTTTGTGCCTGTCGATGTCTTTTGGCAGTTTTAGATGAAAGCAGACCGACTTCAAGAAAGGTTTGCACTGTTGGTTTCCGGATCGAACACGATGCTATGTCTTTCAAAGTTTGAGACTCCAAGCTACACTCGTCAATGACCGTGGCGCGGTGGATGAATGCCGATAGAAGCTGATTCAACCAGTAGGGCAAGGACCGGAAGTTCTACAACCTTTATATACAAGACCCTTTGCAAGATGTGCTTTTTTTTTTCCCTTTTAGGCCTACAGGACCCTCAAAGGCAGTTTTGGCCCGTTAAGCCGGCAACCAAACCGTTTGCTCACCATGATGCCCAAGTTAAAGCCATTCCGGCATGCCGGATCCACGAACCTTGCCTACCTGATTTCATCAGCCCATCAAAACTCTTTATAATGACTAGACAGATTTGAGCCTTTTCAGGATTGCATACTGGAAAGGATACCGCTGTAGGGCAATGACTACCGCCTGTTCAGAAGAGTAGCTCTAGCCTCGGGTGGAATCTTCGACCCTGGTTTCGGATCTGCCGCCGCATGTTAATCGATAACTCCGTTCTAGCGCGACAATGCATGCACTTATTTGCCTCATTACTGGTAGGCAGGCATAAGCGAGAGTCGGGCATTGTGTTTAAGCCAACGACAGAAACATGCGGCCTTATTTTGATTTGCTCAACCACCTAATATGGGGTTAATAGAGGCGATATGCTTGTACGCTGACAGAGATCCAGGTTAACTTTTTAGAACAATGAAAAGCATATTTGAGTTAGCTTTGGTCTGGTTCCAGCATCAGTCGATACATGGTGCTATCCACAACACATGATCACGCTTCTTCCTCCATGGTCGATATAATGGTCGCGCCGCCAGTAGCTAAGACGTAAAAATGCCTTGCTGCGCTTTTAATTTAGAACAGACTAATGAAAATCACTCCATGGATGTAGATAGCCTGCCCCAACACCCAATGCCCCCTTGCCAATTCTCACAGCAGAAAGAGGACCGTCGAGTTGAGCGACTGTAACACCCATGTCATTGAGGGTGCGACGTGGAAGAATGAACATGGCTGGGGATTTAGAATGCTATGCGAGTGTGTGTTCGTTTGCCCGTTCCCCAAACTCAGTACTTTACCTTTGCAAAACCCCTCTCGTCTGGTGTGTTTCCTAGGATGTTGCCACACATGTCAACCTAGTTTCTCAGAGCTTGAAGATAGTGAGTTCGCCTTCTTAAGGTTTGCAATGAGTCGTTCAACAGCTCCATTACTTTCTAGGAAAGAAATAGCCTCCAGAAAGGTTGACACTGGGCTGACAGAAAGCCTGTTTGGGTGATTCGAAGTTGCGATTTCGGCTGCGAGGTAAAACGAAGCACTCATATTACTACTTTGCTTTGACTAGTGAATCTGCTACTGAGTCGGAACTATTTACCACAAAACCAACAAACTCGGCATCAGTATTGTGGATTGTTGATGTCCTAACCAAATTAGCAACTGTCGAGGAGTTTCAACATAAATTATTATTAAATCTTCGAAATATTCGTGAGATTGAAACAAAATGCCGTGTGGGCTTTGGGAGTGACCGAAATCTGATCCGTGCTCGTCCATCAAGCAGTCAAACAGGGGCCATATGCATGACAGTGGAGATCAGCCTGGAATCCGATGCCCCGCACAGATCAAGCCACGTTTGCAGTTACACTAGTAGTATATTTCATGCGCCACAATGACCTTGACGTCACTTTCCTATTCTCCAGAGGCGACAGGCGCAGGGTGCCACCAGATCACCTGGTAGGCAATAGCCTGCCTTTTCAACTTTCTTTACCATCTTTACCACAGCCAAGTCATTCGAAGACCACCTTGTGTACTTCCATAGTCTTCTGGTATTTCTCAAGATGGCGAACGCTGGTGCTCCTCCCAACTATTGTAAGTGCTTTCAGTGCCCCCCACCTTAGCTTAGACCCCGATCTAACATCACGCTTCAGATGTGATCCTAGAGATCTCCGAGACGGCTACGACTCAGCAAGTCAGAGATGCATACAAGAAGTAGGTAGATGTCCATGAAATGCGGAAATTTGTGCTAATATATCTCAGAGCTGCCTTGAAAACGCATCCCGACAGAGTTCCTGCCGACTCGCCTGAGCGAGCAACGCGTACCCGCAAGTTCCAGCTTGTTAACGATGCATACTATACCCTCTCCGACCCCACAAGACGTCGTGAATATGACGCTCAGCGCAAGATGTTCGGCACGTCCACGGGGTCGACAACCAACGACCCCTTCGATGACCCCGATGAGGAAGTACCCCCTCAAGCCGGTCCTAATGCTTCAAATGCCTATTCTTGGGCATGGAACTTCTTTACGGGCCGACAGGCCAACAATCAAGAGCAGCGCGAACGATCAGACAACCAACAGTTTGGTGACGTTTTTGAGGAGATGCTGCGTGAAGAGGGCATGGCTGAGGAGGGTACTAACCGGCCAACGAGCTCCTTCTGGGGAACTATTGGTGGCGTTAGTGGTGCTGCGCTGGGCTTCATCGTTGGAAACATGCCTGGTGCGGTAGCTGGAGGTGTTGCTGGAAACAGACTTGGCGCAGTTCGAGATGCAAAGGGCAAAAGTGTCTACGCGGTGTTCCAGGTTAGTGCGAATCTGGAGATATCTACCGGGTAGATCCAGTCAGACTCTCTTTTTGCTTAGTGATTGGGCTTTCCTTTTCTAACATGACACAGGATTTGCCACAGACGGATCGTGCAAGATTGCTCACACAGCTGGCTGCCAAGGTTTTCAGCCATACAGTAGGTGCTTGAGTGTCACGTAATTATAGCTGGGTTTAGGGTCATATTAATCAGTTAGCTTGGAGTTTGGGATGGACTGGGATGGATTGGGATGGATTGGGATGGATTGGATGGTGATTCAAGTCATTACTGGTGGGCCACTGCGGCATCGTTACACGACATCATTACATAGTTGATTCCCTCATCAGAAATGCTCATAGCCCAAGGCTAATTCCAGGGCTATATGCGTACTTCAGGACGACATTGTGATAGCACACAGAGGCGCGAAACTCGTACTAAGCCGCATGACCTAACAATACGCTCCGTCTGTCATAAGCAAAGCGATACTGAGGCACAGTATCGTAAAGCAGTCACCAGACTGCCATTCTTCAGACAAGGTAGATGTGATCACTTGTGAAAGTGTGCAAACTAAACTCTATCGTTGTGCTTTTGAAGGGATTGGAACCGAGCAGATCAGCGTGTCCTGCTTCTCAACGTCGTCCGACCACAGCATGCTTGCGACCTATTTGGTAGAAGTCGTTCCACAAAACGATGTTGAAAATCCCGGGAAAAGGAACATGCTCTCTCAATGTGAGTGTGTAAACAATACTTAGACATACCAAACGAACCCGCAGATGTCTCCCGGGCCACCTGGTTCAAGGAACCCCACTAAGAGCCCATCCACTCTTGCCCCGTAGGTTGGGGAAGCGTTCAAGCTTCATAACATTTGCATTTCGGTTCACCACATCGTCAAGATGTAATTTTAGAAGACCCATTGACACTTGAGAAGCTTCGTCTTCTCTTTCGGAGCCAGATCTATCGTTTTCCAACTCTGTTCGCTTGCCAAGGAAGTCGTGGGGTAACATTGCAGGGGTATATGAGTTTCTCCATACTTGGACAACCCCATCAAATACAGTCAAGGTGCCAGAGTGGTTAATGGGCTGCCCTGCTATCATCTCATATGACAGTTGTTCAGGCAGTGGCTTCGGTCGCGCAGGTTCGAATCCTGTCCTTGACGATTTCTTTTTGCCTTCGTACTACATTTCCGTCTTTTAAGCCTTTCTTTCTTTCCTCCATTCTTTTAATCTACTGTGCAACATCGACAGGCTCATTCGATAAAACAACTGAAATGGGGTTCTGACACGCGTCAATCGGTCTTGCGCCGAACTGCGTCCCCAACCACGCCCGCTTCTGAAGAACATACGGATTGGCTGGCCCTTTAACATTACACAAATAACTTCATTCTCAGGTTAAGCATAGCCTCCGTCTTGTGATTTATGTTTGTTGACAAGTTAACTATGTTTTCTTATTCTTCCGATAGCAAAGGCGAATAACAGGGGAGCATTTATTAGAGAGTAACAACAACGCCCCGAAACAACTTCCGCCTTCGAATGTCCGTTCTCTCTTGTGTGATATCACGTCTATTATGTAGTATTTGTACCACAATAACTACGCCTAAATAGAAAACCGCTTTTACTCTCGACTCCGACAATGCGTTCGGGATGGTTGCAGCTCCGTTATCTCGGTGAAGAATTGAGGCTGGTCTTTTCTGAACCCCAGTCTTTGATCTCGTAATGCTGGTAAATTGTGGTATCCTCGGACCACCTGCTGCGAAAGTAACGTGCCACAATTATTCCCGATTGTTACCTTCGATATTATGATTGTTCGGTCGTTCTCTTCTCGGCGTGTTCGAGTGGAGACCAGTTGGTGAGCTTGAGTTAACTTAACGCCGTTGAGGTAGCAGTCGTTGAGAATGATCAAGTTCTTGTACACATCAGGCCATGGGCAGGTGAGTAAATTCGTGACAGTTTAGAGTAGTGGGCTTGCTGATCGACAAAGGCGTTCACGGCAGCTTCGATATTAATAGGGTGGTGGATGTGTTGGACTCCTTGATGGCGGCGGAGTCATCCTCGGGTATATGGCGACAACATTTCTCATTGACAAGCCTGTAAGCACCCGATCGCAAGTTCGGTGAGACTTAAAGATACGATCTTGGTCGATGCATGGGTTGAAATCTGAGGACGGTAGTGCCTCGCACCACGGTTTGTTATGCGAAGAGACTTGGCATCTCGTAAAGTTGTCTGGTTTTCCCCAACGTTACCATCCAGTAAAAATGCCGAATATTATAAGGTATCATTAGAGGGGAAATTTCTCGATAGCCTCCTGGGTACTTTTTGTGCGTGTGTCTCCTAACCTACACCATTTTTTGACTATCTGAGGGGACAGTTGAGTTGCCTCTGAACGTCTTCGAAGTCGAGATATTACATCGGAGCAAATGTGCTATCGAGATACTCACACCAACCAAGTCCTTGGGTAAGTAACGGTAGACGTCGTAAATCCCTTTTGAATCAGAGGGGTTCTTCGAAAATTGGCACAAGGATTGTCAGGTGACAGACCAGTTGATGCGGAAACTTCATAACTGCCTCTAGCTTCTCGTTAATGGTCGACTTTGTCTGGTTTTGCGAAATCAACTGGTGTTTTTTGCCTGCCCTTGTGGCTGACATATCTGACCTTATAGGTTGATCGCATGTTCTTATCAGATCCTATCGTAGATACCCTGGCTGAGTCTTTGTTGCCGCTGCTACTATTCTCATATCTATATCTTCACTCAGTTATCGAAGTTAAATTCTTGTAGAAGATGAGTTGAGTTGATATAGAGAAAATTCGCATCTTGAGGCTCATTGTTAGTGCTGAATCTGATTGGATATGCATGACGGGCCGTATGAGGTTTGGCAAATATGTTATCCTCTGGATTGAGATTTGACCATAGAGCTCTTGATCAAGCTCCTCTCCACGCACGCCTGAAAAGGAACTTTCCTACGAGGCCATGGCATACTGCGTGCCAAGAAGAACCCCCCAGACGCGATGGTTCTCCGCATAGCCTATGCTTGACTTGGTAATACAGGTGAATTCTGCCGAACAGTTGTCCCTCAAAGTTTCGATGCCTACACGTGACAACTCAGATCCTTTGCTGAAGTGACGCGATCAGATTAAAAGTACAGCATGTGCCAATAGAAAGGATGACAATGATTTGAGGTCGGGTCCCTTATTAGGTAGAGCATCAAGTCTCACTTTACCGTAGAATTCGATGTAGCGAATCACGTAACACAAGAGACACCCGACTCACGACCAGTCTTTACACTTCAATCTCTTTGGCTATGTAAAGACGCGTTCTCGATAGAACAGTAAGTATAAGCTGATCAAACGCGACGCTTATCTACAAGTTTAAACTGTTGCAAACAGCTGCCCGTATATATGTTCTTGAAAGAAGCATGCTCCTCCTTTAACCCATGACGAAATCCACACAACTTTCGTAAGTTTGCTTAGCGCTTGTGCCAAACCAGAACCATTGCATAACACATTGACCGGCCTGGGCGCATGTTCCAGCGGGCAGGTTGCTCGGCATGGTAACGTCGAAGTTCGTATTGTTCGCAGGCAATTGCGCAAGCTTCTCGTCGGCATAGGTGTCGAATACGATAAGCGGCTCGCCAATGACCTTGTTGGTCTTCGTGTCGACGATCGAGACGTTCATGGGACCCTCGTGAGGAATGGGTAGCGCAGCTCTCATGTTGACGACCTGGCCGGCCTTGAAAGTTTGGACGTTCTGCTTATTATCCTCAAACTTGGCGCCACGGCAGAGATCCAGCTGGCCTGTGTAAGGTGGTCAATAGAAATCACTTAACACTGGTGCAAGGACATCAACCTACAGGTTGCAGGGGGATTGGTGAAGTCCTCCAGGGGGATAGTCGGGTCAGACATCACAGCCTGGACATTTTCTTGTCCGCATGCCTTGATCATCGCGGGGCCAGGCACTCGCGCGGGGGGGTCGGTGATGTTTCCATGGGCAGAGACCATGGCAGCAAGAAGGGCCGTGGCAGCAGTAACTGAAGAGCGCATCTTGAGGTAAATTAATGTAGCCGATTGGGAGATTCAGGAAAAGGAGAGAAAGAATGGACAGAAAGGGTCTGTGAATAATGAGAAGGAGAGAGCGTGTTGAGATTAAACAAAGCAGGAAACGAGTGACCAGCACAATAGATTGATGAGACAAGTCAAGAGCAAAGACCGGACGAAAGCCGACGGGTCCAGGTGGGAGGCCATGCGACTACAAATACCAGAATCTGGCCTCGACTCGGTGTCCGTATGGACACTTTCTCTGCCCGGCCCGACTTAGTGAACGAGGATCAATGACTTGGCAATGACCTCCCGTATGGCGGGCGTCCAGACGCGCGGGAACTAACGCCGCCAACCCCACTGTTTGCCTAGTGCGATCTAGGTTTCTTTAGAGCCTACCCGGGGATGATCCCTGGGCGAAACGTGTCCCTTGAGGCTCTCTGATGGGTGCTCAAGACAAGCTTGGTGGGATCCACGGGGGTGAAACGTCGCAAGTTCTTGTGCCGTCCTGATTCCGGTGCGGACAGATAAGGCCACGGTCACAGCCTGCGACAAACCTTGTCTGGGGGTGTATGTGCAGCGACGAAGCGAGCAAGCAGAAAGGCAGAGCTAAAGGCAATAAATGGCATTTGCACTAAGGTTCGAGTGAACCAGCCGAGTTGTTGATTGTTAATCATGGGGGGAATGACGACGCATCTTTTCTATGAATTGTGATGCCAAGCCGTCAGTTTGGACGCACGTCACCCGGCAAGGAGGCAATGAGAGAGAGGAGGGCATCTACGGCCGCCCAAACAGCTCCAGAGACTTGAGCAAGCCGATTGGTAAAGTGAAGCCCGGATTTGTATGCGAACCCAGGACAGTGGGTCGGGATTTTCGGTACGGCGCCCAGGAGCTTCCTTCTTTGAGTTCCGTCACCCCTTGGTCGTGATCTACGGGAATCAGTAGGAGTACTGCAACTGCGCCAAGTCGATCACGATCCCCCGTGTAAGGGATCTACGAGTCATAGGACAATCATTAAGCAAACACGGAGCCGGGAGTTCAATTATGTGAAGAGTCGATCAATTCTCTGACAAAAGCGAATTCATCAAGGTCACCTAACTCCTGAGCTTCAGGGGCAGGAGATATCAATTGAAAGAAAGAAGATCCGAAAACGCAAAGATGCACCGCCGAGGTTTTACTGATTGATGTTTGTGTCATCTTACACGAGAAGCCACGCCTGAAGACTAAATTGTGGGCTCTGCCCACCTCACAATCCAGTCCGGGGTAGCGCGCATTGTCGTTACTGAAGAAGCGGCTTCACGGAGGAAGCCGAGACCGATGCGGGCGGCAAGGATAAGGGAACTTCTCCTTGTCTTCGGGACTACTATGCGGGAATGAAGCGAATAAGGGGCTGCTCCCTTGAAAGCTTGGAAGCCACTGCAGCCGTGCCGGTCGGCTTGAGTGAGATAGGCATACACAACTGGTACTCCGATTAGATGACTTGCCGAGAATCTGATTAAATATTCGGAGTATTTCGAGCTCTAGAAATATAACATAAAGTTTTCTCATAACACCGCAGCAATCAGGGGTGGAAGGGGTGGAAGGGGTGTTTCGGCGTTGGCATGTTTCCGTTAGCTCCACAAAGTGTGTTTCCGAAGGCTCGTAGCGCCCACCGGCCTCCCGGAACGGGCGTGTGGGGCTTACAGACGGCATCCAACGGTCCTTCCCTCAATATTTCTCCAACTTTGATCACAGTGGCTTCAGCTTAAACTGCCGAATATGTTTCAAAGGGTTATGTTAACATTAAACATAAATCTTGTAAAAGTAAAGAAAGAAAATAAAAAACCTTTTTCGCTTGTTAAGCAGATTCACGTGGAAATGTTGAGTCTATCGAACTGGCAGCTTCACCTTCTAGTCCATCGAGGATTTGGGTGTTCTGTGACGTCTCAAACAATTTTGTAGGTAAACCAAAAATTCAATGTTTTCAATGCCGATAAGCACAGTTGTTTCCCATTCCCAGACATAGATCATCGCGGCACCAGACTGAGACTTTGTGAAGAACCAACTCTCTTTCCCAGTCGCTGAGAGTCAACCGATGGTTCAAGTTGTTTGAAGCCTGATTTTCATTTAATTTTGGTTAGTTTGGTTTCAATTTCTGCTTAGTCGAATTTACTGGGAAAGAAATCATACATCCTTGATCTTATGTCGATATTCCATCGGGGCGGACTGGGTACAGGGAAATGTCCTCAATTTGAACCCACTTTTGATGATTTTCCAACTGCGTTCCTGTACACCGGTGCCTGCGTCACAGTTGGAATCTGCTGAGAAAAAGGGAAAATAAGTTACATTTGAATAATATTCTTGAGTTGGTTAGAAAAGTCTTGGCCAGGGCTTGAGTAGCAAGTTCTCCTCACGAGGATGTAAATCTAGCCAACCCGCCCCCGATGGGAAAGTTGCTGGCATCGCAGGGGTACCCGCGCGGACGTGGAAAGAGAGCATCTCCATAAGGTGTGGATAATGCCATGATTTAATATAGGAATGGCAGGTTGAAAACGGTGAGAAAGCTATGCCGCTCCTAGTTGCTTGTGACATGGGTAGTTGAAGTCGCAATCATGTAAGGGCTGATGGCCGTCAGCCAGCAGCTTGGGCGTCCACAGAGACATTTTGATTCGGAATTCTGATTATTGTTACAATAGCTGCTCCATGTTGTTATACCCCTCTTCAAATGCCGAACATTAAAAAAAGACTTACCGTCAGAGGGTTAGTGCAGCATTGTCAGTTCTTTCGTCGCTGAGGCTTTTCTTCTAACCCCATATAATTGATGCATCAAATAAACACAATGGATTAATGGGCCTTATGAACACTTTCAGTTTGTGATAGCTCCATTAACATTACGTTACTTAGGTCGGCCTCAAATGCGGCAACAACAGCTATTAGCTCATTCACATCGAGACCAAAGTACTATCCGTGTCCGACATTGTATCTCGGTTCTATCTTTCTTTTTTACGTTCCTCCTTTGCTTTTAACAGATAAAGGGTGTTTGTGTTGGTTTAGCTTGCAACAAACCATCGTTGCCAATTTCAAGGAGCGAAGAGGCAAATCCTGCCAATAGCATCCAATAAATAGACAGGCCAGAAAAAAAAAGCAATAGATATGTTGCAGACCATCTCGAAAAGGTTTCAAAGGCAACTAAATCACTGCTACCGAGTCACAGCCTGTGAAGATATGCCATGGGAAAATCCAACATTAGTTCAGTCGCAATACACCTCAGAGCAGAATCTATCAGCTCTGGACGAATCAGTACATTGAAAGGGAGGTTTAGGAGTGGGCCATTCAATCTGTATCAAGAAGGCATACTTTCGATGGTTTCGAGATCTTGATGGTCTGGTCTTCTTCTACTTAAACGGCCTCATTCTTGGATTCAATGGTTTTGCCCGCACTAACCATCCATTCACCTTCAATGCTTGGCTTTAGGCAGTAGTAACCTTCGGCTATCCGCTCTTCTCATCGAACTTCCATATTTTCTCCTAGGCCAGCCCTTAAGCTTCCGTAAATTTGCTCCTTTATATTGTTCTCAGGCCGAGCGAGGACTTCTTCTACTTGCTCTTGATAAAAATCGACAACAATTTCAGCCCCAAGCGGATGACTGTTGTTGAGTATTACCCAAAACCATGTTTTGACAAAACTGTGAGGATTGGTCACTCTATCAACAGCTCCCCACACGACTGTAATTAGTCTCTATAAAATAGAACTAAGCGGCCCATTTTGGATAAGGTGATTACTTGAGTTCTGCCAAATCGCCCTCATGCAGTACAACAAGACAGCCTCTCGCTGGCTGCCATTTACTTTTCACCCACCAGTAACCCTATTTTCCGTACGAAGAACGTGAGTCTGTTATTTTAACCGCTACTCGCTTTTTCAGTGTTTGATAATATCTAGAGCCCGGTTCATCTATAAGGAATCTAGATATATTCAAATTGCTTTGCTAACACATAACCCGCAGGGTAGGTATCGTTACCGACTACAACTACAAGCGTCACCTTGCTCTAAAATAGTCAATAGTCAATCAGAATCCGTCACTATTATAATTTAGTCTCAACGAAAATAACGGGGTTAATTGGACCTCATAATTTCCGTTAGTAGTATTTGGCCCAGATCGGACAAGTTCTTTCTCATCGTGCACTACAATGACAGAAGTATATAAGCTGCGATGTAGGTCGCTATTCTAAGGCTGTTTCTAGCAAGAAATTTCAGTCTCTGCTGCAATCTAAAAGGATTCGAACACTGATCTATATCTCATGCGGATAGCCGCCCATGACCGCAAAAAGAACACTTAAGAGGTAGGTCACCGAGGTACGGGTAGCAGATAAGGACTTCAGCCATTGCGGCAGCTATGTATATCACATAGCTACGCTTTTCGAAAGACAAAAAGCCATGCCTATGGGAGAATAGAAAAACCAGAGCATTGTAGATAACATTTTGGTTGATAGCATCATAGCCAATCAACTTTACCGGAGGTCTTAACCATAATGCCCAGTAAATGGCTATCCCTTTCCGATGACTTACAAGTTACGTTGTCATGCTGCATGTGGAAACTCAAGTATTTCAACAGTTAATATTGAATATACCACCAAAGATTCCCAAACGCATCTTAGAATAAAGCCTCCAAGAGCCCGTTACGCTCCCAATAAACAGAGATTATAATACAAGATACTGTAGGATTAATAAAACGCAATCTCCAACCGCTGGCTACGAGCTCGAGACTCATAATGGCAAATCTTCCAAATTTGAACTCTCTTCATATATTACTTAATACCTAGGACTCACCTTTATCATCTATTTAGTCTTCTTAGTTAGAAGCTTGTCATTAACACTACCGACTAAGCTTTGATATCCCTGATGTTTAACTTGATACATGCTTCAAATAGACTACCAAAAGTTAGATCATAGGCGGGAATCGACACTAACAGTTATTAGACGGCTCAGGCTTGCCTATCAACTCATCTACAAATCTAGGCAAATCAAAA